GTCGGTGTTGCGAGCTGGTGGTCGGTGTTGCGTGCTGGCGTTCCTGCGCTCCCGCTGCTCAGGCTCCCCGGACCTCCTCGTCGCAACCCCGAAGGCCAGGCTGGGCGGCCTTGCTGGGGGCCTCGGAACCTCCAGTGCCGGCCTGCTGGCACCCGCCGGCCACGAAGGTCTCCACCAGCGCCTCGAGAAGGCGGACGTCGCTGCTCCTCTGCAGCACCGACTGCACCGCGTCCTCCACCGAGCGCAGCTGCTCCTCCAGCCTGTCGAGGGTGCGGCAGGCCTCCGCATCGCCCGCCCACCCTGCCGGCTGTGGGCCCCGCCGCTGCTCCTCCAGGGCGCTGGCGAGCTGTCGCTGTCCCTCGTGCAAGAGGCCCACGCTGTCTGCCAGCTCGAGCCTCGAGGCAGACACCTCCTCCAGCTTCCTGCAGCTGTGCCGGCTCTCCTGCATCACGGTGAGCACGTCGATGGACTTGGCCCCGCCGTGCAGGCGGATGCAGGCGGCCACGAAGTCCTCCACGCCGATCTCGCCACAATCGTTCACGTCGAGGAGCTCGAAGATATACTCCGCCTCGCTCCGGCTCACGTTTATGGCCTTCAAGTCCCTCTCGACCTGAGGGTCCTCCAGCCTGGCCTGGATCTCCTTCAGGGTGATCAGGGCTCGGCCGCCCTTGTGGTCCAACGAGAGCTTATCCGTCGAAGGGAAGAGGGCGATGATCCGCTCCTCGATCAAGGAGTCCTCCCCTTTCTCGGCGCTCTGCAAGGCGGTCTGTACGAATACGCCAGTAACGACATTCATGAATATATGAAATTGTACATGCCGAAGCCCCGGATGTCGGAGTCAACGACATTCATGACCGCCAGCAGCGAGAAGGCAATGTAGGCCGCGAAGGCCCAGCCCAGCAGGAGCCCCAGATCCTTCTCCAGCGGCTCGCCCAGGACGTCCCAGTCGATGCCGCCCGATATCGCCTTCCACAGGGAGAGCCAGGCGTCTGGCAAGGACCCGAAGTAATTCCTCATCCGCAGCTCCCTCTCAGTGAGCGCCTCCTCGGTGGAGTCGGTGAGGTCCGCCATGTGGGTCGTGATCTGCTGGACGAAGAAGATGCCCACGATGTACATCAAGAGGAACAGCAGGGCCATGGTCCACCCGAGCGACTTGAGGGAGCCAATGATCGAGGTGACGATCCTGCGCAGCTCGGCGAACATGTCTATGAAGCGTATGATGCGCAGCACCTTGAGCACCCGACCACCCTGAGGAGCCTCACGCTGCTCAGGTCGACGTCAGACCTAAAAAAGCCCGTCAGCAGGGTGAACGCCTCCTCGAGGACCTGCATCAAGACGATCAGGAAGTCGAACCAATTCCACAACACCGAAACCTCCCTTTTCGTCAGGAACTGCACCTGGTGCACGTAGAGCTTCAGCATCAGCTCCGCCAGAAATATGACCAAGAAGGTGAGGTCCATGAACCGGTACAACGCTGTCGAGCCGAACATCTGTGGCATGTCCTGAGTGACGCGCCGAGCCTGCCAATCGGCCTCGAATCCGATCAAGGCCGCGTTCAGGGCGATGACGATCCCCATGAAGGTCTCAAACCTGCCGCTCTCGAGTATGTCCTTGCCGCTCACGTCGAAGAGAGACTTCATCGCAACGGGCGGCTTCGGGACGCCCAGCTGGAGCTGGCTCCACGAGCGGGGCCAGAGCGCCAGTGGCTGAGAGCCGTCGCCGAACGCGGTGCGGCACCCTCCGCTCTCTGCGTCCTCGGGGGCGGTGGGGCGGTCCTTGGAAGGGGGCCGCGCCGCCGCGGCGCGCCGCCGCGAGGCGCGCACACACCGACCTCCGGTGACGGAGGCGCGGGGCCCGCGGCGGCCCGCCCGCACGTCGGGCGTGACGGGCCGCCTGGAGGCCCGTCCGCTAGGCCCGCTCTTCCGGGGCGACATCATCAGGAAGGAGGAGCGTCGCTCCCCAGCGCCCGGGCCCCGCCCGGGGTTCGCGCCGCTCTCGCTGGCGCGGCGCCCCTTCGAAGGCGACCGCGCGGCCGAGTCGGGCGAGTCGGGCGTGACGGCCAAGAACGAGGAGCTCCGCTGCCCAGCACCTGATGCCGGGAGGCTGGCAGACCGGCTGGGGCTCTCTGGCTGCGGGGCGGGGCTGCCGGCCCCCCCCGGGGAGCTCTCGCGGCCCCGCGCCTCCGCGCCGCACGGGCGCAGCGCGCCTCTCCGGGCGGCCCCCAGGTAGCCCTGCGCCTCGGCACGGGGATCGACCTACGCAGTGCCTCTCGTTTTCGTTCTGTTCTCGTTTTCTCTCGTTGTGTCTCCAATCGGCCTTTGCTGCAGAACGAGGCCGAACCGAAAACTGCCCACGAAATCGCCCAAACACCGCTGAGGCCGACCCTCGCCTGCGCCTCGGCGCCGCACGCGCGCAGGACGTCGCCCGTGGCGGCCTGCAGATGGGGCAGCAGCGGGTCGCGCACGAAGCGCTGGAGCTCCAGCCTCAGGCTCGCCCTCGTCAGGGGCCCGTCCGTGCCCGCGTCCGCCGCGGCGGCTGCGTCCCCGGCTGGCGCCCGGCCGACCGGCCACTCGCCGGAGGACGAGGAGCTGGGGGACATTGCGCCGACGGGTACGTCAGGGGCGGCTTCCTCGAAGGCGAGCGAGAGGCCGTGCATCCCCTCAGGTCGCAGTGCGCTTCCTTGCATAGCGAGGTGCCGAGGCATCGGTCGGGATGGAGCTGTACATTTTATCTGGGTCCCACGCGACGGCCTGGAACCGAAAGTCTTGAGCCAAAATGGCTACGGCTAAGGCGAGAGCCACATTTTGAAAACCACCCGCCTTCCATATGTAAAAACCGTTGCCAAGAACTCTAAAGCTGCAGGGTCAGAGTGGTAAGGAAGTCTCAGACTCAACGCCCGGTTGCCCTTCTGACTGGCATTTGGGTGGGACAGGAAGGAGCGATTTACAATGACAAGGAATGGAGGGAGGAGGAGGAGGGGGGAGAGGATGAGGAGGAGGAGGGGGAGGAGGTGGAGAAGGAGGAGGAGGAGGAGGACGAGGAAGAGGAGGAGGAGCAGGAGGAGGAGGAGGGGGAGGAGGAGGGCGAGGAGGAGAGGAGGAGAAAGAGAGGAGAAGAACGAGGAGGAGGAGGAGGGAGGAGGAGGAGGAGGAGGAGGAGGAGAAGAATGAGAAGGAGGAAGAGCAGGAGGAGAAGGAGGAGGAGGAAAAGGAGGAGGAGGAGGAGGAGGGGTGGGGGAGAGCAGAAGGAGGATAAAAATCTTAGTGATGATGATGAGGAGGAGGAGGAGAAGGAGGAGGTGGAGAAGGAGTGGGAGGACGACGAAAGCTGCGATCATCGAGCTTTGAGCGGGGGACGATCAGCGAGCTTTGAGCTTTGAGGTGGAGAAGGAGTGGGAGTGGAAAAGGAGTTTTGAGCCTAGTCAACTTCAAAAGGGGGGATAAGGAGAAGGAGGAGGAGGAGGAGGAGGAGGGGAGGAGGAGGACGGGGAGGAGGAGAAGGAGGAAGAAGAGGAGGGGGAGGAGCAGGATGCGGAGGGGGAGCAGGAGGAGGAGGAGGAGGAGGAGGAGGAGGAGGAGGAGGAGGAGGGGGAGAAGGGGGAGGTAGGGGGGAGGAGGAGGAGGGAGGAGGAGGAAGAGGAGGAGGAGGAGGAGGAGGAGGAGGAGGTGGAGGAGGACGGGGAGGAGGACGAAAAGGAGGAGGAGGAGGAGGAGGAGGTGGAGCTGGAGGGAAAGGGTGATGATGATGATGATGATGATGAGGAGGAGGAGGAGGATGAGGAGAAGGGGGAGAAGGAGGGAGGGGGACAAGCTAGGTGCACTCGCCTCATATCTGGCGTCCTACCCCTCCATCCCATCATGTACCATGGCGTAGATCCCCTCTCTATTCGCACAGTCGGATGTCGAGCAGGGCAATGATCGTGAGAGGGTGCGCGATGCATTGTAGAGCACGGCGTGGCATGGCGTAGAAGAGCACGGCAGAGCGTAGAATGTCATAGCATGGCGTGGCATTGCAGAATACCGCACAATATGTCAAGGGATACTCTTCGAAAGGTCGGGGCCAGTCTGGAGTCGCGGCTCCATGTTTAGCTCCCCGGGCTCCGCGACAAGCTCCCCATTATCCCAGTGCGACCCTACCTAGGAGTTGGAGCATTTAGGAAAGCAACATCTACATCTACACCGACAGCTACATTTATATATATACACACCTGCATATACATCTACATCAACATCAACAGCGAGACTCACATCTACATTTACAACTACACCTACATCTACACCTACAGTTACATATACATCTACACCTACATCCACATCTACACCCACACCTACATCTACAGCTACATCTACACTTTCGCATTGGTGTTGCTGTTGCTTTGCGTTGCCTTTGCTATGGCTCTTGCTATGGTGTGATATGCTATGCTATGCTGCGCTGTGCTCTGCTAAGCAATGCTATGCGATGATATGGTATGTTATGCTGCGCTATGCTATGATATGACATGCTATGCTATGCTGAGCTATGCAATGCTATGCTATGATTGGCTATGCCATGCTATGTGATGCTGTGCTAATGCTGCGCTGCGCTATGCTGCGCTGCGCTGAGCTAAGCTAAGGTAAGCTAAGCTATGCTAAGCTAAGCTAAGCTAAGCTAGGCTAGGCTAAGCTAAGCTAAGCTAAACTACACCAAGCTAAGCTAAGCTAAGCTCAGCAAATATGATATACGCTAAGCTAAGCTAAGCTAAGCTAAGCTAAACCAAGCTAGGCTAGGAAAAAGCTAAGCTAAGCTGAGCTAAGCTAAGTTAAGCTAAGATGAGATAAGCGAAGCTAAGCTAGACTTAGCTAAGCTAAGCTAAGCTTAGCTTAGCTTAACTAAGCTGGGTGAACCCAGGGGGCGCAACTGGGGGAACCGCGGGGCGGATACTGGGGGAGCCGCCCGGGGCGGTGTGCACTGCCCGGCCCCTTTAAGAAAGAGGGTAAGAACCCTTCTAGGCAGAGCCTAAGTAGGGAACAGGGCGGGGCTGATGGAGAGCACACGCCGGCAGGGGTCTCCCGCTTGATACTTCCTCCAAACGCCGCCGCACAGAATAGGGGGCGCCTTCAGCGGCCAAAAAACTCAACGAATCGGCACCGGATGCGCAATCACTTGCGATGTTTTCTTCTTGGGGAAAGTTTGTAGATTTGGGGCCTATTGAAAAACTTAGAAGGACCGAAAACGCCCGCGCTGCAGCGGGAACGCGTTTTGGAACACCCAGTGGCGCAGAAATGGGACCAGCGCGGCAGCGGGAGCAACATTTTGAAGGACCGAAAAGAATCGGATTGCCAAAAACACATAAGACAACCAGGATATGAGGCCAGCGCTGCGGCGGGAGCACGATTCGGAACGAGCGGAAGCGCAGAAATGAGACGAACGCTGCAGCGGGAGCACAATTCGAAACGAGCGGAAGGCCGACAATGAGACCAACGCTTCAGCGGGAGCAACATATCGAACAACAACAAAACAAAAACGCCGAAGCGAAATCCCAGTTCCCAGGAATCCTGTGTAACAAAAGAATGCGCGGAGGGGGGGCGAATATCTTCGGGACGTTATTCAGGAAGAGAAGAGAATACGATGCATCTTTTGCAAGTGGTGAGGAATAGGAGGAAGAGGGGGAGGAGGAGGAGGAGGAGGAGGAGGAGGAGGAGGAGGAGGAGGAGGAGGAGGAGGAGGAGGAGGAGGAGGAGGGGTAGGAGGAGGATGATGACGACGAGGAGGAGGAAGAGGTGGTGGAGGAAGAATGTGAGGATGAGGATGATGATGATGATAATGATGAAAAGGAGGAGGAGGAGGAAAAGGATAAGAAAACAAAGAAAAAGAGGCCAGGAGGAAAAAGAGGAGGAGGGGAAAAAGAGGATACATAAAAAAGGAAGAGTTGGAAGAGGAGGAGGAGGAGGACCAGTGCAAACCCTGGAGTCATCAACGATGTTGGAATAAACATCCCTCCATTATTCCTTTTTCATAGGCTCCTACGACGGTTCATGCTCACTGAAGGAATTGCCTCGTTGGGGGACAGCCGTTTGAAAAACCCTGAAACATACCAAAAGAGTGTTCTCGGGATTCCAGCGCCACGGATCAAACTTCCTGTTGCGTCTGGACGATTCTGAATGGTGCCAGAACGCCGTTCCTGGGACTTCACCATGGCAAACCAACGTACCTGCTGCACCCTCAGAATCATGAACCGTTCCAAAACAACATTTCTGGTACGTTGACGATGGAAACTCGTGAAATGGTTACAAGCTTTCAAGACGAATGTGCGCGGCGCTAAAGCGAGAACCATATTTTGAAAAGGAGCCGCCCTCAACCCGTGAAAGTCTTGCAAATGCTTACCACGAGCGCACGCGGTAATAAACGAAAACAACATTTTGAAAACGTGCCGCCATCAACCCGTGAAACTGTTGCACATGCTTTGGAAAGCTTGCGCGGCGCTGAAACGACAAGCATATTTTGAAAACGTGATGCCTTCAATCCGCGAAGCTCTTAACATGCTTTAAAACGAATGAGCGCGGCGCTAAGGCGAGAGCCACATTTTGAAAACATGTCGCCCTCCATCGGTGAAGCTGTTGCCAATGTTTCAGCTTCAGGGTCACAAGTGGTGAGGAAGTCTCAGGCGGAACGCCCGGCCCGCCCTAAAACCTGGCTTCGGGGTGCGACAGGGAGAATTTACCCAAACCCCCGACGTCATGATTTCTTCATTGCGTCGACCCCCAGAGGTCCCGACCCTTTCCCCATGACCGGCTTTGCATCCTGAGTCGTTGTTTGACGTTCCCGAGGCCCGGTGAGGGCCCCCGGAGGCCGAAAATGAAGAAAAACCTTCCGTCATGATTTTTTCATTACTCGAGGGGGTCTGGGTATGTAGAAGGAACCGGAATGGAGAATGGAGGAGGGGGAAGGAGGAGGCGGGGAGGAGGAGGACGAGGAGGACCTGCAGCAGACGGCCCTGGACCCGACAATTTATCGAAGTCTCCTCACTCCCGCCGCCGGCCGCAGGCCTCCGCGGGCGGGCCCCCCGCCGAGCTCCGTTCCCGCGGGCCTGCCGCGAGCCTCCCGCCGAGGCCCTCTCTCTGGAGCGCCCCGGCGGTCGCTGGAGAATCGGGCCGGCCGCTGGATGGTCGACCCAGCGCTGGGTGGCGCCTCCTCTTCCTCCCCCGCCCCCCTATCCTCCTCAACTCCCCCATGCTCCTCATCCATCTATTCATCCTCCTGCCACTTCACCCTCATCTTGCTTCTGCTCCTGTTCCTGCCAATCCTCCTCCTCCCCCCTCCTCCTCCCCTTCCTCCTCCTCATGTCCTCCTCCTCCATTCCTCCTTTTTCTCCTCCTCCTCTTCCTCCTCCTATCCTGCTCATAATCGTCCTCCTCCTCCTGCTCCTCCGCCTCGTGCTATTCCGCTCGTCCCCTCTGCATTCTCCATGCATTTGCCCTCGACTCCTGCTCCCCGTCCCCACCTGCCCACCTGCCCAACAGTTAGCATGGGAGCGTGCGCGGGGGTCCCCGGAGGCGGACTTGCCGCCCGCCGCCCCGCTGGCGGCGCTTCCACCTGAGCGGTGCCAGCTGCGCCCCCCGCGCCTCCTCGCCCTCGTCGTTGCCCTCGTCGTCGACGTCGTGGTCGTCATCGTGCTCGTCGGGCGATCGCGATGGTGTTCGTCCCGCTCGTCCAAGCGTACTGAGCCGTCGTTGTGCCAGTAGGAATAGTAGTCGTAGTAGTCGTAGTAGTCGTAGTCCTAGTGCCAGTAGTGCTAGTAGTGCTAGTAGTGCTAGTAGTAGTAGTAGTAGTAGTAGTAGTAGTAGTAGTAGTAGTAGTAGTAGTAGTAGTAGTAGTAGTAGTAGTAGTAGTAGTAGTAGTAGTAGTAGTAGTAGTAGTAGTAGTAGTAGTAGTAGTAGTAGTAGTAGTAGTAGCAGTAGCAGTAGCAGCAGCAGCAGCAGGAGTAGTAGTAGTAGTAGTAGTAGCAGCAGCAGGGAGGGGTTTCTTAAGCTAACCCCCCCCTCCCTTGGCGCCGCCCTGCTGGAAGCTACCTCCCCCCCTCCCCCCCTTTCGTGCAAAGGGGGAGGGGGGAGTGGGGGGCTTGGAGCTACCCCCCCCCCTTTGGCCGCCCCGGAAGAACTCCCCCTCCTACCCCCTTATCCAAAGGGGGGGGGGGTGCTTAAGCTACCCCCCCCCCCTCCCCACTTGGAGCCGCCCTGCTGGAAGCTCCCCCCCCCCTCCCCCCCTTTGTGCCAGGGGAGGGGGGGGGGGCTTGGACGCCCCCCCCCCCTTCCCCCTGTGGCCGCCGATCCGACCTGGACTACCCCATCCTCCTGATCCTCCTCCTCCTCTTCCTCCTCCTCCTCCTCCTCCTCCTCCTCCTCATAATCATCGTCATCATCATCATCATCATCATCATCATCATCATCATCATCATCATCATCATCATCATCATCATCATGATCATCATCCATCATCATCATCATCATCATCATCATTATCCAGAGCGCCCCAGATCGGCGGCACTGGCCGGAGGCCAGCACAAAATACATATAAATATATAGATCATGTATGTATACATGATCGTAGGTCTGTCTGTCTGTCTGTCTGTCGGTCGGTCTGTCTGTCTGTATGTATGCATGCATGTTTCTCTGCATGTACGTATACATGCATGCATGCTTGTATGTATGTATGCGACACATATATATATATGTGTGTATGTATGTGTGTAGGATACGTTGCTCCTTCTCCTGCTCATAGCTGTTGGTCCTCCTCCTCCTCCTCCTGCTCCTCCTCCTCCTCCTCCTCCTCCTCCTCCTCCTCCTCCTCCCCCTCCTCCGATTCCCGCGGTCCGCCGTCCTCCTCCTCCTCCTCCCGCCTCTCCTCCTCTCCTTCCTCCTCCTCCTTATCCCCCTCCTCCTCCTGCTCCTCCCCTCCCTCCTCCCCTCCTCCCCTCCTCCCTCCCTCCTCTCCTCCTCCTCCTCCTCGTCCTCCTCCTCCTCCTCCTCCTCCTCTCCTCCTCCCTCCTCCTCCTCCTCCTCCTCCTCCTCCTCCTCCTCCCCCTCCCCCTCCTCCCCCGTGCTCCCCGTGCCCCCCGCCCTCCTGCATTTCCTTTCTCTCCACCCTGATCCCCCCCCCCATCCCTCATCCCCCTGGCCCTCCTCCTCCCTCCTCCCTCACTCCTCGCTTCCTCGGTTTCCCTCGCTCTGCCCTCGCTCCGCCGTGGCTGCAGAACGGCATCAGCACGAGATCGGCCCACGAAACCGACGCCCTCCGCCCGCCCCCGCGGCACCTCCGTGCGCGCGGAGCTCCGGGGCGGGCGGCTCGCGGGGGCGGGCCCCTCGGGGGTCCGCGACGGCGGAGCGCCGGCGCCGGGGCGGCCTGCGCAGCCCCTTTCGGTTCGGCACTGGTCACAGGAAGAGGCAAATGTGCCTCGAAGTATGTGGGCCTCCCAGATCGGGTCCGAGTAGATGGGGTCGGAGGATCGCGCCGCATCGCCTAGGAGACCTTCGGAGATGCCTCTAGAGATGCCTCTAGAGATGCCTCTGCGAGGCCTCGTGCGTCTTATCCACGGTGCGGGGACGGTGTCGGGATGGGCCGAAGGCCACCGCCCACTGTGCGTGCCACTGGTGCACGGAGGGCCAGTCGGGTCTCGGCCCAACCCGCCGGCCACCCGGATAGGCCTGCAAGGCCGCAGAAAAGCTGGAACAACTCGTCTCCAAGACGTCTAAGATGGCCTAGCATAGGGCCTCCAAGATGCCTCCAAGACAACTAAAATGGCCCCAAGAGAACCCAAGATGGCCCCAGGAGGGCCCAATATGGCCCCAAGATGTCTCCAATACGGCCCGAGATGCACCCAAAACGGCCCAAGATGGCCAAGGCGGTCCCTAAGATGCCCCAAGAGGGTGACAAGAGGACCTCCAGGAGGTCAAACTCATTGATTGTCGTGTCTGTGCTTCCCGTGGTGTTAGCATTCTCGCCTTTGCGGGCTTCCGCCGAGCCACGACGGCCGCTCGTTTCTGGAGCCCGTGTGGAACACTTGGGAATCTGGGGTATCCTGGAATGCATGTATGTATATATATATATATATATATATATATGCATGCATGCATGTTTCGATGCAGGTATGTATACATGCGTGCATGCTTGTATGTGTGTTTGCTAGATATATACACGTGTGTATTATACGTAATTGAATATGTATGTGTACATGTATATGCATATGTATATGTATATGCATGTGTATATGTATATGTATATGGACATGTAGATGCATATGCATATGTGTACGTAGATGTATATGTACATGTATATGTACATGCGCATGCATATGTATGTTCACATGCATATGTATGTGTATATGTGTATAAACTATGTATATGTATATGTATGTGTGTATGTATATGTATATGTATATGTATATGTAAATGTAAATGTATATGTATATGTATATGCATGTGTGCATGTGTGCATGTGTGCATGTGTGCATGTGTGCATGTGAATGTATTTGTATATGTATATGTATGTGTATATGTGAATGGATATGTTGATGTACATGTGGATGTAGATGTATATGTGTATATTGGTGTTCTGACCGTCGCCGTACTAATGCAGGGTCCCGAGCGGGCTCTCTTCGGGGTCTCTTGAAGCAACTTTCAGGCCGACTTGGGGGCCACCTGGGCTGTCTGGAACCCTGAGAAAGTCTTGGTCCGTCAGGGCGATCTTGGGGACCCCTTGGGGCTGTTCTGAAGCGGTCTCGGGGCCCAATTGGGGGCTGTCTTAGGGCCCTCCTGGGCCGTCTGGAGCGCCCTGGAGACCGAGAAGCCGCGTACACGAAAATAGCACTGCAACCTGATTAAGGAACACCCATGACTGTTGCCTCCTGGGCGCCTCTTGGGAGTCGTCTTCGGGCCCACTTGGGCCATCTGGGGAGCCCGTTGGGCCGTCGGCGCTCCGGAATCAGCCTCCCCAGCCGCACCCGAAGTTGCACCCAGACCTCCAACGTCTTGAAAAAATCAAGGCGGAAAGGTTTGGAGATTTTCTGCCTCCGGCCCCAGGAGAGGAGAGATCGGCCAGGACGGGCCCCGGGGCCCAGACCTCCGACGTCTTGCAAAAAAATGGAGGCGGAAGCTTTTGGATATGTTCGGCCTCCACAGGCGCTCGGCGGGCCCCGGGACCACCAAGAAACAACTCAAATGAAAAACCTCCCCCACACGAGCCAAAGAGGAAAGGGGGGGGGAGCTTCAAGCCCCCCCCCCCTTTTGCAGCAATGGAGGGAGGGGGGGGGAGTTTCCAAAGCCCCCCCCCCCCTTTCAAAGGGGGGGGGTTGCTCACCCCAGCTCCATTAAAAGGAGGGAGGGGGGGTAGCTTGGAAGCCCCCCCCCTTTCCGGCCACGAAAAGGGAGGGGGGGGGGGAGCTTCCGACCCCCCCCCCCTTCAAAAGGGGGGGGGGGCTCACCCCGGCTCACTTGAAGGGAGGGAGGGGGGGGTGGCTTGGAAGCCCCCCCCCCTGTCCGAACCACGAAAAGGGGGGGAGGGGGGGGGGGGTCCGAAGCCCCCCCCCCCTTAGCAAGGAAGGGAGGAGGGGGGTAGCCTCAAGCTGGGGCCCCCCTTTTAGTCTATCGGGCCCCCCACGCGCGCGCTCCATCACAAGTAGTGATGTTAACACAAGTGATGGTATTAGTGGTAGTCGCCGTAGTAGTAGCAGTCGTAGCAGCAACAGCAGCACTAGTAGTAATAGTAGTAGCAGGAGAAGAAGAAGTAGTAGTAGTAGTAGTAGTAGTAATACTAGTAGTAGTAGTAGTAGTAGTAGTAGTAGTAGGAGTAGTAGTAGTACTAGTAGTAGTAGTAGTAGTAGTAGTAGTAGTAGTAGTAGTAGTAGTAGTAGTAGATAGTAGTCGTAGTAGACGTAATCGAAGACGTAGCAGTAGTGGTAGTAGAAGCAAGATCAAGAGTAGTAGTAGTAGTAGTAGTAGTAGTAGTAGTAGTAGTAGTAGTAGTTGTAGTAGTTTTAGTAGTAGTAGTAGTAGTAGTAGTAGTAGTAGTAGTAGTAGTAGTAGTAGTAAAAGTAGCAGTAGTAGTAGTAGTCGTAGTAGTAGAAATATAAGTAGTAGTAATAGGCGTAGTAGTAGTAGTCGTCGTGTTAGCAGTAGTAGTCGGAGTAGGGGTCCGAGTAAGAGGTTGCAGTAGTAGTACTAGTCGCTTCATTCGTAGTAGTAGTCGTAGTAGTAGTAGTGGTAGTAGTAGTAGTAGTAGTAGTAGTAATCGTAGTAGTAAGACTTCTAATAATAGTAATAGTAGTAGTCGTAGCAAGAGTAGAAGAACTACTACTACTACTACTGCTACTAATAGAAAGAGAAATAGTTGTACCAGTCGCAGTAGTAGTGGTAGTAGTAGTACTAATCGTAGTCGCCGCCGTCGCCGCAGTAGTCGTAGTAGTAGTAGTAGTAGTAGTAGTAGTAGTAGTAGTAGTAGTCGTAGTAGTCGTAGTAGTAGTAGTAGTGTACTAGTAGTAGTAGTAGTAGCAGCAATCGTGGTAGTGGTAGTGGTAATTGCAGTAGTGGTAGTAGTAGTAG